TGTAAATACTTTTAATTATATTTTAATGTTAGTATTTTTAATATAGTGTAAAGACAAATGTATATTGCTGGTCTTTGACCGTAATAAAGATCTTACTTACTTACTACAAACCAGCACTGAAAACTGCTTAGAAACACTCAGCTGGTTTAGATTTTGTATCTTTAGTGACATGATTCATTCAGTCTTCCTGTCAGACACTTATAAACTTGTTCTTTTAGTGCCTCCACATTTGGGATCTGGATGTCCGGGGGAATCATAAAGGACTATGGCGGCTCTTTAGGAAAAAAAATCACTTCTTGGTTGTAGGAGTCCCTGCCTCTCCATATTCGTAAGTCATCTTTGTGGGTCAAGTTAGACTTAATTGTTGTATAAAACTTTTCTTTTTCCCATCTGACTCTTATAGCCAGATTATTTGGCTAGGCACCTTGTTTTTTACACATGTTGTTCTTAAACAAAATGGCAGATCAAGTGATTTTTTTTTTCCAAAGGGAGTCATGGAGACATCTCCTATTATGTGTAATTAGCTTCTATCCATTGCTTAGCTCTGCTGCAAGTAGGTCCTTATTTAATTCTTGAATGAAATGGACATTGTGTAGAACTTTAGAGCAAGAAGCACTAATGGGACTACATCAGCCCTTGTAATCCATGGGTGTAGTTCCAGAGGCTTTCAGAAGTTATTCTTAAATTGCAGTTTTTAACACGTGGAAGGAAGAAATTGTTAAATTCACAACTGGACAGCGATCATATTAAAATAATTTTTATTTACATTTACATTTCAAAAAAAATCAACTGTTGTCCATGTCCCACCTTTTACATTTTGGAAAGCAGTGCCCAGTCTTCAACGGCTCAAGGTTGACCTGGTTTTCCATCCTTCTAAGGTCAATAAAATGAGGTCCCAGATTGTTGGGGGCCATATGCTGACTCTGTAAACCACTTAGAGAGGGCTGTAAAGCACTGTGAAGTGGTATATAAGTCTAAGTGCTATATTGTTTAAAAGCCAGGTATGAACCTTGGGCCAGCATAAATATTGCACCCTTGCTTTTCAGTGAACCGTAATAGAGAATAGAGCAACTATGAAAAGATAAGCGGGAAGGGACCAAAGCTGAAAGATGCCCTGCATTTTGGACATGCAAAATATTCCATATTCAGTATTCATGTAAAAGCATTGGATACTTTAGTTGGATATTATGGAAGACTGGTACAAATCAGACAGCACTAGGTTAGATGGATATATTGCAGTTCACTTTATCCAGTTGCATTTCCCCTAACCTCAGTCATTGATTGCTATCTTCAAATTCTAAAGTTGAGACTTGTTGCTTCTAGAAAGCACTGGGTTAGAAAACTCTGTAATACTTTGCCCCTCAAGACAGTTTTATATATTTTGTTGTTCATCCTGTTGAATCTAAGCTTTCCACCTCCCTTTCTATACTGGTAATTTGAGTTTCCAATTTCCTTTTTCCCTAGATTCAAAAAACCTCCTTCAGTGATCCCAATCTACATAGAACCCCCAGCCAAGGATGAGGCAGCAGGAGCAGAGCAAACATGAAGCAGATCATGGAGTGTTGACCATATTGCCTTCATAGCCTGCAGAATAGGAGGGCAGAGGAACACTTAGAGCTCTCTGGGACTGCTTTTCTCTGGAAGTCTGGAGAAGTAGGACAAGCCAAAGGGAGCTTTCCCCATCCCTCATCCTCAGGCTGCTGCTGAGAGTGGATAAATTGCCTTGGAAGAACAGGCATCTTTAATATTTTTCTAAGCCAGCGAAACAATGCAGTTGTCTCATTTTTAATATTGATGCTTTACTAATTGTGGGCCACTATTTCCCCAAATTGGGGTTGGGCCTGAGGGAGCTATTTGAAAGGGATTGAGTCCCTTTAGAAGCTCTTTCCACGTTGTTACCTGAGGATATATATATTTTTTAATTTATTAGTTTGCTGCAGTGGTCAGCCACTTTCTAAAGGCTTGTTTTCTTGCTTTATATTTCTGATGGTTTTTGAGGTGAGTAATAATGATGGGAAATGTTCCTAGAAACCCACATACCACTGCCTGGCTAGTGACTTTATGGTCAGTGGTTCACATGCGTACAAAGAAGAGTTTTGTGGCCTTGGCTTCGTGATCAAAGGATGCAAGCTGCAAAAGAACTGCATGTGTACTGAATGTCCTGATCACTCAGGCTCGTAATTTCCTTTTTCCCCCTCTCATCCTCTCCTCCCATTGGACAGAGATGGCAGTGAAAGGTTGTCCCTTTCAAAGTTATGGGTTCTAGGTTCCCTGTGGATCTGCCTGGATTTACCTAAGGCAGTTGGTCTTGGTTGAAATATCTGAAAAGATACAGGCTACATGGTTTCATCATTTCCATAAAATGCCTGCAGAAAGAGCTAAGCAGCAGTAAAGAAGAAAAGTGCCTTGAGCAAGCATGTGCTGGCCTGGGAAGCTTTAGTATATCAGGGTGCAGAAATAGTAAATGAGTCGGATTAAATCTTACTTCTGAGTGAGGCTGGTCTGTAGGTTTCTGGAAACCAAACCCAGAAGTAGCCAGCCATGATAGGGTCTTTCTACAACTAATTGAGACTCCACTTGCTCTCCCTCCTGTGATGTAACCTGAGTCCCACTCCTGCTAAATGTGAAGTGCAGGTACTAAAGTATTTTGCCCCCAAAGGAAAATCCAAAGGGACTTGTATGCACCGAGGAAGATTTTGGTACTAAGTCCTAAGAAAGGGCAACTGGGCTCTCCTAGATAGATAATCAGAGGTGGAAGGGTGTGGGGAGACAGAGGAGGAAGCAATTCAGGGATAAAGAGGAAATCATGGTTTCCTCTTGGATATCCTGTGCCTTATGGAGAAGAGGGAACGTTTTAGGTCTCAAATGTGACTTTCAATATATTCACACCATGAATAGATTAAGGGAAAAGGAAATGAACATTCCCCTCAAGGGAACAACTAGATTCTAGTTTGAGGCCACCTTTCCTTCATTTTGTTGAGTTATCTCTTTGTGTTTTCCTCTTTTTCCTCACTGTCCTCCAAACTTGTCTAATACCAGTATGAGTTAAAGAGCAAATACCTTTTCCTGTCCATAAGGCAGCTTGAAAACTTCTTGTTTTGATTGGTTAGCTAACGCATGGTTCTCCTTGACACTCAGGCTCCTACTTATTCTAGAGCCCAAGAGTTTCTGTGCTTGAATTAGACCTCAAGTAGAACGTATGACCCAACACTGTCCTAAGCATGATATTTGCAAAGGTCATCTGTCTGCTGTGTCCCTACAGTTTTCATTGGCAAAGTAATGGATAATTCATGCAAGGATCTCTGCCGACAAAAATTGTGGTCCTCAGGGCGCTATCAGTCTTGAGTACAGATGGTGGTCTTCCATTTGCAGGATGTATGTGAACTCCAGTGTAGAGTGCTGTTTTTGCTCTGCCTTGACTTCATTTCCTGCCATGTGAAGAAGGAGAAATGGCTTTTTCTAAACACAGAAGAGACATAACTTACTAAGATTCCTGATAGGGATGTCATTCAGATGTCATTTTAAGTATGCAAATGGGCATCAGGAAAAAAAAGTTCCGTGCAAATGCAGGTGTATGAAATAGTTCTCATTCTGGAGTCACTAGCACATTGGCCATTTTGTGGAACTTGGTATAGAACTTCCATTTTGGATTCATGTAGTCTCCCAAAGCTGAGAATATTAAGTAGCTGGTTCTTTTAATAGGGAGTAACTTCTAAATTCGGGGCTGAGGAGTCAACAACTTGAATTTACACCTTTTGGAAGCATGCTGTGTTCCCCCCCACCCTTATTTATTTGACCACTGGGACTGATGAAAACAATCCAGTTCCTTGATTTATATGGTGGTTCAACCTTTAATACTGGGTATACAGACTCCATATCAGGCTAAAGAGATAGAGACTCCTAAAGGCTATTTTCGGGGGGCAGGAGAAGCAAGAGATTTAATAGATTTGTTACCAAGTGAATATCACTTGGTAACAAATCAACACCAATCAATGTGTGGCCCAGAGGTGGTATTCTACTGGTTCGGACCGATTCACCCAAACCTGTAGTGGAAATCATGGGTACCCCCCCCCCCATGGCATCGCATTTAGGCCCTTTTTTTTACCAAAAGTGCATGCATGGAAGGCTAATCACGCACTCACATTTGCAAACCGGTAGGGAAGGTGGCATGGCCCATTTCTATTTGTAGATATAAATTCAGATTTAATATTAGGGTCTTCAAAATCCTTTATTTTGAAAGATAGACTAGGCTACATTTGTGGAAGGGGGGATTCAGGGACAGACTTCTGGCCAGTGTTAATAATTATTGTAGTGTGTTCTCCCTACCTTAAAAGTTCCTTAAATTCCTTAAATCCTTGGTAGAGAAGAGCACATGCCACTTCCCTCTATTGCAATTTCATAGCAGAAAGGCCATTATTGCAAACCTGGAAACCCTGCTCACTTTGTATAATGCCTCAATTAGAGTGGTGGAGGCCCTTACAACTTCCAAGGTCCATCTTTTTCAGAACTGCATTTTCTATACAGTGATGCAAAGTTACTTTGTTAAGACAGAAACATTGTTTTATGGGGCCAGCTTTTGTCTTGTCTAGCCAATTGTAGAACACCTGACAGTGATGAAATGAAATATGGAATGGAAGGTTACTTTGATGCAACATTTATGAGAACTTTATTAAACAGTTTTTGGCATGTTTGAAGGGGGGGGCAATAACATGCTAGAGATGATCATTATTCTCATCAAGGCCTGTTCAGCCTTGAAAGCAAAAGTCTAGAGATCCATAAATGCCTGGCTCTTCATTCATCAAAAGGCAGTTGGAGTGACAAGACCTAGAAGATACTTGTACTAAAGAAAATTATTTGCCCCTGTTGAGCAAGGGCAGAAAATGGCAGGAATATGTTTATGCTGATTTTATTTTCCTTTTGTCTAATTGTTTGTTAAAAAGGTCTTAGAATTGTTATTTTTCTTACCAAAAATGCATCTTTGTAAAATTCCCTGAAGATGTTTACATCTGATGCTTCTGTTATATCAATGTAGGTTTTGGAGAAAAAAGAGCAGTATTCATCTCCTTGGTTAAAATGAGATTTTTGTCCTCATCAAGCAACAAATAAATCTAGGGGATTTGACATTTCTAGTGCCATTCTTTACAGACTACGCTATGCAGAAAATGGCCATTGAATTCTCTCTCCAACTATTTCCTTATGCTTATACACTTGTTCTGGGCTAGCTATTCTTAAAGACGGAATAATATAAAAGTAATGAAATCAATTTCATGTGTGTCTACATGACAATAATTATTAGCTCCTTAAAACAATTGAGGTGTGTATGGAGAGATTGAAATACCAAATGATTGTCCTTTTTGAGATTTTGTTTAAATTTGAACTATTGCAAAACAACCAGCAGTTTTCAGGCATGCCTAAAACAATGGGATACATTCAGATAGTGCTGGATTGATTGTTATTTTGAATAAGAACTTCTGGCCTAAGCCAGCTGTGGTATTCACTTACTTTCCCTACCAGTTCTCAAATGTCAGTGCACCTTCTGTGCATGCGCTTTTGGCAAAAAATGGCCTAAATGGGATGCCATAGAGCCGGGGCAGGTGGGCAGGGCCATCCGCGATTTCCACTACCAGTTCAGGCGAACAAGTCCGAAACTGTAGAATACCACCTCTGGCCTAAGCTACTTATCAGAATACAGGTCCAATCTTCCCCATTCGGCATACAATTATGCTTGACTCCATACTTGCAACATCAAAACTGATGTTATGGTCCTCTGAATAGATTCCATCTTGGCTAGATTGACTCTTGCTACCCTTTTTTCTATTGTTGATATCTCTCAATCTCTCTCCCTCTTTCCCCTTCTCCCTTTCCGTTTCTCTCTCCCTCTCTCCTTTATTTCCCCATTTCTGTTGTTCACCTTAAGCAAAGCATACCTTTGTGGCCTGAGTGCTCCTGGTTTGTGAGAAAGGAGGCATCTCGTCTTGCATGCAGTCAGGGAGGGAAGAGAGGTTGAGTGAAACTAGGCTGGCTGCTTTTTGGTATCTCGTGCCTGTGTTTTCTAAAAAATAAAGATGGCAGAATTGTTGCATCTCCTGTCTTTTACATCTCTATGCATGGTGATGTCTTTTCCTTGAAAATAAAGGCTGTCCTTTTTTAGTAGCTGTGGCATAGATTGTCATTTCATCCTGAGCAACTTTGACAAAAGTGTTGTATTTCTCCACTTATCTTCTCAGGTCCTTAAAAGGCACAAATAACAAATTCTGCCCTGGATTTACAGAAGTTTTCAAAATTGATCATCTGCAAACAGTACAGGTAGAATAAGCATCTCAACATATTATTTTACTGGGAGTAAAAAAAGGATATTACTGCTTTTGCAGGAAACCAACTCTTCAGAATACTGCTGTAGTGTTATTTTGTCAGATTCCTGTTGTGCATTTATTCACTTTATATAGCACCTTTCTTTCTGTGATCAGTCAAAACTTGTACAGGTAGTCCTCAACTTACAGCAGTTCATTTAGTGACCATTCAAAGTTACAACAGCACTGAAAAAGGTGACTTATTTTTTTAAATAGTTTTTCACACTTAACAACAGTTGCATGTGATCAAAATTCAGATGCTTGGCAAATGATGGTTGCGGGGTCGTGGGATCACCTTTTGAGACCTGACAAGCAAAGTCATATGGGAAAGCCAGATTCACTTAACAACCGTGTTAGTAACTTAAAAACTGCAGGAATTCATTTAACAGCTGTGGCAAGAATGATCGTAAAATGCAGCAAATTCACTGAAACTGACTCACTTAGCCACAGAAATTTTGGGCTCAGTTGAGGTCATAAGCCAAGAACTGCCTCTACGTAGTCCAATCAGATACCTAACATCAATAACTTTATTCAAGCCTGCCCCTATGTTTTTTCATCTTTCCCCTGCCAGACATTTCACCTTGCTCTATAGTGGCAAATAAAAGAACTATTATATAGAACCACTAGAGGCCCCCAGCTCTCCATACTGTAAGCTTCAAAGGAGCAAGCTGCTTTTAAGCATTGATGCATTTTAGCCCCTTGGAAATATAAATAAGGCGAGCTGAATCAAAAATATATCAGTCTGTGAACTCATCTTCTAGGTAAGAGACAAACAAATAAAATGCTGTGTGCTTGCTCAAATGAAGGGCAGCTCCTAGAAAGGGGCATGATAAACATTAATAACTGAAAAAGTGTGTTCCTTTTAGTGTTGTATACATTTATTCCACTAAACTCCATACATGCATCTACTATAGTAATTTGGCAAAAGCATATTGTTACATTCAAAACCCTGTTATCCAATCACATACATTAAAACAAGTGTTTAAAGCGCAGATATCCTTTAAAACTTGAAAGATAGAAGCCTAGTTTGAATTGACAGCATAGAATTGCCAACCACATTGAACAAAAAGTGCCGTTAGCGGCTTTGCATGTCACGTATTGTTGAAAAATCAATTTCCATTAAATAAATATCTGAAGAGAAAATGCATTACATGTTTTATTGTATTAAAGTAATGAACAGCATATGTCCATCTGTGCATGGTTGATTTGGCATGTCTGCCAAAGTAGATGCTTTCTTACAGCATTGACTGACCTATGATATTTCATATTTATTAAAATATATACATTCTCTCTTGTAATGCAACTCAAAAGCTGCCGCTCAGTCTACATAAAAACAATTGCAGAAAATATTAAAAAATAAAATTGTATTAAAATGAAGGGACTAAATATTAGATCTTAATAGGGTTGTGAATATTTTAAATAACTTCCGTCTTTGTGGTTTCAAGCAATATTCTGGATTTTTCCACCATAAAGGGCCCAACAATCTAGCAGATTATCTGATCTGGCAGAAAAACAAAATCTTAGTTGAGACATAATGCAAAGCCAGGTGCTTTTATGTGTCTTTCAAAGAAACATTTAAATGTTCCTTTGACTCTTGATCAGTTGTAAGCTAGCACAGACCAAAGGTAACCCTGATCCTCAAAGAGTCATAGACCTGCGTAGTGAAATGAATGTACAGCATATTAAAATAGTTCATTGGGCA